AGTTCTAATTACAGCCATCCCTATATCCATGGTTCTTAACATTGGGCAGGTTACTTACCCTTCTGGAGCCCCTTTTCTGCAAAAATACAATTGGTCATAAGAGTACTGACCACATAGAGTGGACTTTTATAAACAAAATGTGAGAAAGTTTATGAGGTACTAATCTCAGGGTAGAGTACATAAAAAGATCTAAATAATAACTTATAATTACCAAAAGTTTCATGAATGAAGGACTAAATGATAGCTCTTGATGTGTTATAATATAAATGTGTGAATATTCTAATTGTTTTGAAAAATGTGTTGTAAAGCCAAAGGGTGTGGTACCCATGACAGAGTTCTAACCCATTGTGGATGAAGGGAATAGCAATTATCTCGAGAAATCAGGGGCTGAGTCCCCAACACAAGTCAATTTTTTGGAGATCCCAGGAATGTAATCAAGACAGATTCCACAATATTAGACTTGGAAGAAAATATTAACTCTGGATTGGGATAAGATTTAGTAGATGAGCTCTCTGGAAAGCAGTAGAGCTGATGAAGAGGAATAATAAAGACTGGATTCCCCTGACTTTCAAACTGGTCTCTTGAGAACAGAGAATCTACAGGAACAAATTATTTCTGTGCAGACCTTTGTGCTACAGGGAAATGATATGCTCAGAGGCTGGAGTAACAAGAGGGAAATGAGCCTAATGAACAGCTAGAGGGAACTGCATATATCTCTTCTGCTGTTGTCCCTCAGAGAGTACAACATTGTCTGGACAAGACATGTTTGTTTATTTTGGAGTCCCAAGTCTTTGGCTCGGGGGCTGATGCTTGACTCCTTCCTGCTCAGAAGTTTAGGGACAGAATTTCTCTGCATCATTAACCATTCAGTCAGAAAATTCCCTCTTCCACACAGAGACCTTCCTCTCAGAGATCCCAGTGAGATCAGTCTGAGAGCCCAAGAGGTACTGTGGGAAAGTTTTAGAGAATGGAAGTTGGGAGCCCTTCCCCAAGATCACCTGAGAGCCAAAGCAGGTTAGTGCAGTGAGAGATTGTTTGCTTGCATGATTAATTAATTAATTAATGCATGTATTTATTATGCTAAAAGAGAAATTTATTATGCTAAAATAGGAATATTATTTAAGCCTCTGATATCTCCTTTAAATAATTAATGCATTTATTTATTATACTGTTGAACTCAGCATCACAAGATCATTCTTTACAATAAAGTGAATGTTATGGAGGCATAATTAGAAGGATGAATGGGAGGGGTAAAGTGATTTCAGTAAAAGTAAAACATGTTTCCAAGGATCTTTTCAATTAGGGGGAGTGGAGAAATACTGCTTTAGCTGTGGAGGAATATGCAGTCTAGTGAAGGCATTTCATTTTTATTTGTAAGATGGGTCATATTTTACTGTGTTTCCATATTGATGAGAAACATCCAGAGCAATGAATTTCTTGCACGTACTACCTTGTAAAAGCAGTTCATGAGACATGCATTTTGCGGTATATTCTCTTATGCTAACTACTCAGGAGGTATAAAATATTTAATATGTGAAAGAGGGTGTACTCAGAAGCTTTACTTTGCAGTAATTTCATTACTCATGCAGCTGAATACATTTGTGTGTTGGTTAGACCAGTGATGCTGGTGAACACTCTACAATGCCCAGCACAGACTCCACTACAAATAGTGACCTGGCCCAGAATGTCAGTAGTGCTGAGATTGAGAAACCCAGTGATAGAGAATATCTGTATTTTTCATATTTTGTCTGTCTTGAGATCATCTACTTAAAATGTTATCACACTCATTTCTGCCAGCAATATTAGAGAGTACACCTTTGCTATCTGTTTAAAAATTTCAACAAAAATCAATGCAACAACTTACAAATTTTTTTCCTAAGCTGATGGGGGTTAAAAAGATTTCTTGTTGCTTTCTAACAAAATTACTGGTTTTGAGCAAATACTCAAATATTCATGTATTGGCTCTCATATATTGAGATGTTGATTTACCTATGTTTATCATATTCCCATATTTACATAGTTATCAGCATTTCAAATGATTTTAACCAATCTTTTTAATTGACTTTGGGGGATAAATTTTTTGGCCATAAAATGTAAAATCTTAATTAGTTAAAAATGTCCGTCTTCTTATTTCTGCATTTCTTGTCTTAGTTGACATCATTTTGTTCACTCAAAGATTTTATATGTAAGTTTTCCTAATATTTGTATAAAATGTATTGTTTACTTTTCCACCAAGGCCTTTAATCTCTCTGTTTTGTTGTTGTTTGTGTAACATAGTAAACAACTATATTTCTTCCAGATATGCCAGTTTTCATTTTAAAACGTAACCTTTGCAACTAAATTAAAATACAAACTTGCCGTATATTTAATGTCCATATATAATGAGACAATTCCTAATTTATTTAACATATAATAACTGAGCATCTGCTACATGCTAGAACATTCTTTGAACATTATATAATATATTGTTTTATATATAGGTTTTTGCCAGTTTCGCTATTAATTTAGCTGTTGATATTAAATTATTATTATTTTAGATCTTATTTTAATCAATATTTGATGATGCATCAGTTTTGTTTACTATAGTTGTTTTAAAACCACTCTTTAACTTGGTTTTATTCCCTTGCTGTTTTATTTTTAATTTCATAACTTTTCAGTTTCTTCAAATTTCTTTCTTTTTAATGCACCCATATTCACATATATTTGTGAAAATACAAAAGTGAATATACAAAGTAGCATCTGTGCTGAATTGATCTTGTGTTAGAGTGGAGAAAACAGAGCACAATGAAATAAATAGAAAGAAATGTGTGTACCACATAATGTCCTCAGGGATAAATAATATGAAGAATGCTTTTCATTGTAAAATAATACAATTGTCATGATGTGTGCAGGATTTTATATGCTGTGGGTGGGCTTTGCATGTTGAATGAAAAACAGAACCAGGACTATGGTGTGCTCATTGGATTTGTGAAAAAAGTCATCAAAATCCAAAGCCCACAAATGGCAAAGATTGATTGCCACACGAGAAACACAAGTAAAGTGAAAAAGAGACCTGTGTCATTTACGAAACAGAACCAGGACTATGGTGTGCTCATTGGATTTGTGAAAAAAGTCATCAAAATCCAAAGCCCACAAATAGCAAAGATTGATTGCCACACGAGAAACACAAGTAAAGTGAAAAAGAGACCTGTGTCATTTACTGTCACACCATACAGCAATCAACTGGCCAAATAAACATGGAATAGACACAGGAAAAAAAAGTCTTTTGTTCTTTCATATAAAGATGCCAAAATTTTACCATTGTTCTCATATTTCCTTTTGTAAACTGCTGGTTCATTCCTTTTTCTCCATTTTTTTAAAATGGGGGTGTTTAACCAGATTCTGTTTTATTACTGAAAAAGCTATCATTAAAATTATCTTATGGTTACCTGCTAACTGCCAAAAAACAAAACAAAATAAATAAAATAAAACAAATAAACTAAAATAAAATAAACATTTCTTTTGGATAACTTTATATATATTTTTAGTTTCAAAAAGTAAACAATAATTTTAGTAATCATTAAAACTAACACTCTTCCTAAATTAAAAACAATGAAGGGACTAGATATCAATGCCAGAATTCTTTATTTTTGATCTTTTACTGTATTTGCTGGGCAGCAAGGAGATGTAACAGGAGTTGAAATATAACCAGAATCAAGGAAGCTTTCTCTTCCTCACAGTCTCTCAGGGACCACCTGAGCTTATTAGACCCTTTTCCCACCTCAGGCCCATTTAACTCCTCTCACTCTGCTTATTGAACAAACTATATAGGGCAGATAATGGCATACAAAAATGAGACCCAAGTGTATAGTAGATATAAGAATTGGAATTTCTGGGTACCAATTCTGAACTCTTTAGAGGAAAGATAATCTGATATTGAAAACTCACCTTATATTCACTCCTTTCTAATATTAGGCTGGGAGTGTGAAAATCATGGTATTAATACAACCCCAGGAGGCCCCGTGTGCTGCATGTGTATACATGCTACATATCTGTGTATGTGTTTAAGGGCGAGAGCAATATTCAGAGAAAGGGGACTTGGCCACAACACATAGTGTGGAGGCCAGACATAAGGCAACAGTTACAAATAAATAGCAGGTTCATTTCAGTTCATGGGGCACCTTTGCAGTCAAATTACCAAAGTTGGACAGAAGGACTTACCACATCTGGGCAGAGGGACTCCTTGTGTCTTGAAGTTTCAGCAGCAATGAGGCCACCTCATTTCTCACCATTCTCTGACACTGACACCATCTCTCATCACTCTCCTCTTCCTCACTCCCCTGCCACACTGGATTCTTTGTTGCCCTTGAACATTAGGAGCAAGCAACTTACTCAGGGTCTTTGTACTCTCTATGGCTCCTGCCGCCACCCACTTCCACAGATGACCTTGTGGCTCCTGCCCTGTTTTCCTTGAAATCTTTGTTCAAATGTCACCTAGTTTGCAGGTCATCACTAACCACCACTAAAAAAAATACACCCCATCTATGCTCTCCTTTTTACCTGTTATATTATCTTCCCAAGCACCTATCACTATCCGACATGTTTTATCATATTTTTATTTCCTTATTTTCTTTCTCTGTCGTTAGATAGTAAGATTGTATTCTTTTCAGCTTTGTTCACTCTCTGTTTAAACAGTGCCTTGAAATGCTGAACATTCAGTTCATATTCCTACAATGCATGAAATATTTTCTCATTATAACTGTAGAATTCATGACATCTTCAGAAAGGTGGACAGTGGGAAGGATTTCCTCACTAGAGATGGCAGGATGATCCCCTAAAGGGGACCACATTGATACATGAAATATAAAAACAATTTCTTGACTGTAAAATATAAATGACAGCATTTCTGAAAGATTAGTAATGCATGCCCATGTCTTGTTCTCTCCCTGCCCCCCATCTTTGCTAGTCATATCAACCACGTGGAATCAGGGAATAATACACATATTTCTGAATTTCTTCTTATGGGATTTTCAGAGGAACCCAGATTGTTAACTTTCATCTTTGGGCTGTTCCTGTCCATGTACCTGGTCACTGTGCTTGGGAACCTGTTCATCATCTTGGCCATCATCTCAGACTCCCACCTCCACATGCCCATGTACATCTTCCTCTGCAACCTGTCCTTTTCTGACATCTGTTTCACCTCCACCACTGTTCCAAAGATGCTGGTGAACATACAGACAATTGGCCATCATCTCAGACTCCCACCTCCACATGCCCATGTACATCTTCCTCTGCAACCTGTTCTTTTCTGACATCTGTTTCACCTCCACCACTGTTCCAAAGATGCTGGTGAACATACAGACAAAGAGTAAGTTCATAAGCTATGCAGGCTGCATCACCCAGATGTACTTTTTTATCCTCTTTGCAGACTTAGAAAACTTTCTCCTGACTGTGATGGCATATGACCGGTTTGTGGCCATCTGTGACCCCCTGCACTACATGGTCATTATGAAACCCAGGCTATATGGACTGCTGGTTTTGGTGTCCTGGATTCTGAGTGTTCTGCAATCTTTGTTGTATAGCTTAATAGTGTTGCAGCTGTCATTTTGTACAGATGTGGAAATCCCCCACTTCTTCTGTGAACTTAATCAAGTGGTCCACCATGCCTGTTCTAACACCTTTGTTATTGACATAGTGATGTATTTTATAGTTGGGCTACTGGGTGGTGGCCCCCTGGCTGGAATCCTTTACTCTTATTCTAAGATAGTTTCATCCGTACATAAAATTTCATCATCTCAGGGTAAGTATAAAGCATTTTCCACCTGTGCCTCTCACCTCTCCGTTGTCTCCTTATTTTATGGTACAAGCCTAGGTGTGTACCTTAGCTCTACTGCTACACACAGCTCACGTGCAAATTCAATAGCCTCAGTGATGTACACTGTGGTCACTCCCATGCTGAACCCCTTCATCTACAGTCTGAGGAATAAAGACATAAAGAGAGCTCTGAAAAGGTTTTTTGGTAGGAAACTATAAAAGGACCATTTTTCAGGATGTGTCCATGATTGCAGAGCTCTAAGCCTCACAGCTAGTAATTGTGATTATTTAATCAGGCATGGAAGTATATCTTTCTTCTATTTATTTCTTTGAATTTCCATTTTTTTAAAAAATAATTTCAACTGCTTTATAGAATTTAAGCAACTCCCTTTATAAAGTTTTCTGTCATCTCTGATATTCAACAGGTTTTGTTTTTGTTTTTGTTCTCCTTTTGTCATTTTTCTACTTTCCCAAAGTTATTCCCATCTTTGGTTTGGAAACAATTTGGAGATTCCAATGTGTCTTATATAGTGATGAGTTGAACTCATCCTATAGAATAAACTACACCTGGCAACTAAGGCTATTCATATAACTTTATAATAGAGGACAATCTGAGACCACAGGTCTTCACTTTCATATCTTTCTCTATCTCTACCTTAACTGCTTTTTCTAATAATATAGACCTTTATGTAGTTGTGCACATTACAGCTTGTTATGGGATTTTATTCTTCTATGATCCTGATTCTTATCAAGTCCATTGTCTGCAGTGCCTACTATGTTCCTGGCATAGTGTAGTAAGTCAAAAATTGCTTATCAAACACATGTTCCACGTGTAGTGTACACTGAAAGACAGATTTGCATATATTGATTGACTTAATATGGACTTAGAGGAAGATAAAACCTTAAATATCATGAGGTAAAATTTTCAATCATTCATTGAATTACTATGGAAGATTGTTTTTTGATGATGTACTTCTACTCATTGAAATGTAGAAGCTTGATGTCCATGTACGAGTTTGTTAATTGAGATGAGGGATTTGGTGTTCTGTTTTATATCATTTTCTTGGATCATATTTACATGTATGGTTAAAATTTTCCAATGCTGCCTATGAATAGGACTTCTTCCCTTGCCCTAAACAAAATACCTTCCCCTTTAAATTTTTTGTCATAAATATTAAAGTACAAGTGAGTGAATGACATATGTATTATTCTATCATCAATTTCCTTATATCTTTTATGCCCTAAATTCCCTTCACTTCTCACGATCAAAGGACAATTCACACAAGACCTTGAATTTCTACCCAGTCATGCCTCTGGGAATGGAGACTTGTGATTGAAGGTTACAAGCTATTCCTGCAAAAATATACATATCCTTCCAACCTCTCCTGCTTATCTACAAGGGAATTGCAATGGTAGCCTTTGTTTAACACGGTTGTTTGAAATAAACATGAACATCCAGGTAATCGTGAGTGCTGCCTTCAAATATCAGAAACAATGTCAAAAATAAGAAGCTGCAGTTAATTCTGAATGTCTTTAGTTCTGTTTTCATTGATCATTGTATCAGTAAACTGTAGCTTCCTAACAGGCCATCAAAGAGTAAATGGTTTAAGATAATGCTTTTCTTATCATGTGAGAGTCTATATGGGAGTGTCTTCTGGCTTCCTCATGAGTATGTGGTCAGCTGGAGGTGTTCTGCTAATCTTGGTTGGGTTCTTTCACATCTGGAGGCTTTCTGGTTGTAGGTTGGACCAAGGTGCTCATGGCTGGGACAACTGGGATCTGCTCCTTATGTCCTCCCCTCCTCATACAGCAGGCTTGCCTGGACCTGTTCCACTGAAGAGGCAGGTTTACATGGGAGAGCAGCAGAAACACACCAAGGCCCCATAAGGGACACTGTGACATCACTGTATTCTTTTGGCCAATGCAAATGAAACATTTTAAGTCCAACACCTCAAATGTTTACCTTTGTTTTTTGTCTTCTTTTTTTTTTTTCTGGCAAAAGCACCTAAACTCTACTGTTGTAGCTAATTTACAGTGTGCAGTACAATATTACTAACTGTCCTCACGCTGTACATTAGATATCTAGTCCTTCTGTTGTGAGGCACTTGCACAGAAGAATCCAAGACCAACATTGGTTTTATAGCTCTTTTAATAGTTGACAGCTCTTTTTGGTGTTACAGCTCTTTTTGATGTTACAGCGCTTTATTGCTTGCAAGCAAGGAGAGCACTGGGGAATGAAGATTCCTAGATCAGTTTCTCCCTGAATAAAGGAAACAGGCAGACTTATATAGCCAAAATTCCCACCCTGACTTTCTGCCCAAGTTCCCATCTTGGGGAAGTTCAGGTCTTCCTATGTAAATAAGGGATGCAGTCCTGCTAATTTGTATTGGCTGATTATGGGACACAGTTCATTGGCCCGCTCTGGAGCCTAATTTGCATCCAGACCTTAGGGTGGTGTGAGACTGTTATCTCCTATTAGCACATGAATACAGGCAGGTGCAGGAAACAGGCAAGTCAGAGTTTGCGATTAAGACAGCAGAGTATAAAATTTCTAAAAGAGTTTCTCCAGTGGAAGGGGGCAGGTCTAACAATCAGAAAATACTCAGGGTTTCCCACTACACTTCTTAACTGCAGCTGAGTACCTTTTACCTGCATCTCCCTGGTAACCACTATTCTACTCTTTGTTTCTATGCATTTGACATTTTTTAGATTTCATGTATAAGTGAGATTATGCATTTTTAAAAAATGATTACAATGTGTAAGGTCGAATATACTAATTATACTGACTTGAGCATCACATATTGCACACAGGTATTGATAGTTAATGGTGTACCCCACAGAAATGTGCAATCAATTATGTCTCAATAAAAAAGTCAGTGAGATCATGCATATTTTTATTTCTGTGTCTGGATTATTTCACTGTGCATAATATCCTCCAGGTTCATCCATGTTGTCACAAAAGCAAGATCTTTCTATTTAATGCCAAATAAAATTACTATATATATGTAAGTTTATATATTATAAATAAAATCATAAAATGAACAAAATTTCTATTTTGTTTTATTACACATAGTTAGTGTATACAACCAGTTCATCCCTCCATGAACACTTAGGTTATTTACATATCTTGGCTAATGTGCAGAATGTGAAATGAACATGAGAGCACAGATATCTCTACAACGTGCTGATTTAATTTATGTTGGGTTTATACCCAGAAGAGGGACTGCTAGGGTCTATTTTTAACTTTTTGAAGAACTTTCATGTGGTTTTCCCATATTATTTACATTCCCAACAGGGGAGTATACCAGGATTCTCTTTTCTTCATACCCTGCACAACACTTGTTATCTCTTGTCATTTTGATAATAGCCATCCTAAGAAGAGTGAGGCAATAGCTCATTGTGGTTTCAATTTGCATTTCCCTGATGATTAGTGATGTTTGCTCTTTTTTTTTTTCCCCATGTACCTATCGCCCATTTGTATGTCTTCTTTTGAGAAATGTCTGTTCAATTTCTTTGCCCATATTTTAATCATATTATTTGTTTTCTTTGTACTGGGTTGTTTGAATTCTGTGTATATTTTGATTATTAACCCCACTATAATATTTATTGTTTCTCCCATGCCTTGGGTTATCCGTTTACTGTGTCTATCATCTTCTTAGCTGTGCAGAAGCTTTTTGCTAGTTTGATGTAATCCCACTTGTCTATTTTTGCTTTTGTTGCCTGTGCTTTTAGTTTTATGTCAAGAAAATCATTGCCCAGACCAATGTCTTGGAAGTTTCATTCTATGTTTTCTTCTAGGAGTTTGGCAGTTTCTGGTCTCAAATTGAAGTCTTTAATCCATTTTCAGCTGATTTTTGTATATGGCTCAAGATAAGGTCTAATTTATTTCTTCTACATTTGAATATGCAGTTTTCCTAACACAATTTATTGAAGATACTGTCCTTTCCTAATTGTGTGTTGTTGGCATCTTTGTCAAAAATGAATTGACCAAAAGTGTGTAAGTTTATTTCTGGGCTCTGTATTCCATTCCATTGGTCAAGTTAATCAAAGTGAGCATCTTTGTGACCACTCCTATGGCTTGTGTATCTGGTAAATCACTGATGTCCATTTCATTAGGGTCGATTTCTGGAGATTTATGTTGTTCTCTTGTTTGGAACATATTTCCTCATCTCTTTATGTTCCTTGTCTCTCTGTGTTGGTTTCTGCATCTTAGATAAAACAGTCTCCTCTCCAAGTCTTGACAGTTTGGCATCATGTAAGAGATTAATCTCACCAATCAGCCCCAACAGAGATTCTGGACCCCTCTCAATCCTTTGTGCTTGTCCAAACCCCTACCTTTTTGGTTCATGCTCACAGGAGACTAGGGCACATCAATTCCCACCAGTGCCACAAGACAGGCAAGATAGAAGACAGTCCCTAGATTACCAGGTGGAAAAGTTGGGATTCTATATATGTGGTCCAGTTCCCTCTTTCCTTATGCAGAAAGTGGGAGCTTGAGTTTATCTCCCACTTTCTTTGCATGCTCATTCAGATGACACACTTTTTCAAACCACAGTTTTGCTCTCTGATGCTCTGGGTGCCTAGAGAATACCAAGATCCATCAGTTCTGAGAGACAGGCTGATTACCTGGAGGCTTGGTTCTATCTCTGCAGTGAGCTGGTTGGATGAGCTATGGAGGTGCCCACCTGCCATTCAAATTTCCAGAAGAATAGTGATTGCCTGACCTGTCAGTTTCCACAAATAGGTGAGATGGAAGCCAGGCCCTCAGAGAGCAGCTGGAGTAGTTGGGACAACAGATGTGCATTCTAACCTCTTTCTGTGTGAGACTGGAACTCAGGCTTTATTTCCAAAGGAGCCAGAAGGAGGAGTCATTGGGAATCCTGGCCAGCCATTTAAAACTGCTGCTTTGATATCTATAGGCCATTCAAGACACTTGAATGCTGGATCCCATTAGCTACCAGAAACCTGTGACTTAAAAGCCAGAACCCCAGACAGCACCCAGAAAACTCAGGGCACAAAATTTGTAGACCAATCCTTCTATGCAGAAGATTGAGGCATGTTTTTACCCAGTGGAGTGATTGGCAGTTAAAAAAATGGGAAAGCAAATGAATAGATATTTCACAAAAAAGCATATATAAATGGCCAAAAGGTATACAAAAATAAAATGCTTAACATCACTAATCATCAGAGAAATGCACATCAAAACAACAATGAGATAT